CACACACACACACACACACACACACACACACACATCTCTCTCTCCTTTTCTCTTTCCCTCCCCCTCTCTCAGCCTCAGTTTCCCTCTGAGTCGCCCCTCCTCCAGGATGTCATGCTTTTGCCACACTCCACCGCACTCTGGCAGCTGGGACAGGGTCCCCCACCTCCAGGCGCTCTCCAGGGTACAGAGCCTTGGCGTCTCCTCCCCCGACCCCACCCTAAGCCCTGGCGGGAGCTCGGCCCCTCCTACCTGCAAACACCGCGGAGCAGTAGGCATCGCTGATGTCGGTGTCCGGGGTGTGGACGTTCTCGGCGTAGAGGATGAAGACCCTCAGCATGCCTGGCGCGTCTAATGTCCCGTGCGCCCCGGGAGCGAAGAGGGCTGGGAAGGACCGGTCGGGCCGGACCGAGGCGCTGCTCGCGGGTGCCCTCCCTGGAGAGGGCCGGCGGAGCGAGGCTACCTCAGGATCTCTGGATCCTGGATCAGAGCAGCTGCTCTTAAAGGGGAACAGGCCAACCCAAGCCTCTCCAGTGGGCTAGGCGCGGTCCCCGCCCCCGGCTGCGCTCAACGCTAGTCTGCGGGCGTTGCGAGAGCAGGGGCTTCTATTCATTGTCCAGCCCCGCAGCCCTACGTCGGCTCCACAGAGCTGTAATTCAATGCTCCGGCCACCAGCATCCCCAATGACACGGCACTTTACACCTGACTGGTGAACCGCGGACAGGGCGGCGGCCGCGATGGCCTGGGACTGGACCAGGACTCAGCGCCCGGCGTAGCCTAGATCCCTCTCACTTAAGCTCGTCGCTTCTCCTGATCCTATACCCCCAGCGGAGCGCTGCTCCAAGCCTGACTCTAGCTCCTGCGGTTCGGATTCCATAACTCTCCAGAAGCCACACGACCTCTCTGAGTAGGACCCACAGGGGATCCCTAGGTAGGGCTGAGGAGCAGGCGCAGGGCCGGCACTTTTCCCTTAGCTTAGAATTTCATTGGCAGACAGAACGGCTGCCTTAAAATTTTGCTTAATGCTGAGACTGCAGTCACATCCCGACCCAGGACTTGTCCTGGTGTGCCACAGTTCTCGGAGAGAATTTCCTGGTTTTGATTCACTGGAGGGGACAGTTAATGTCCACATAACTGCCCAGATCAGAAAAGTAGTGTACCTAGGACCTTAAAAGTTAATGTTGGCTTCTTTCCTTGTACCCCAAGAAATTGGTACGTGGCATGATGTGTTATAAATCTTTTTCTCTTCTAAATTTTTTTTTCTTCATTCTGCGGATGGAACAGACCCGTGATCCCACCGACTCAGGAGGCTGAAGCAGGAGGATGGCAAGTTCGCGGCCAGCCTAAGCAATTTAGTTGGACTGGCTCAAAATAACAAAGATGAAAAAGGGTTGGGGATGTAACTCAAAAAGCAAACAAAAAACGGGGCTTTCATTCTTAGTTGTAAAAGTAACACAAAAAAAATCTCTGGTTCTAAAATGTATGTGTTAATATATTAATATTTGAATACTAACCAGTCCAGGTTTTCCCCTCTGAATGGATACATGCATATAAATTATTTATTAAATATATGGGTTCAGAACACATATGCAATCTGTGTTTTACTTTTTTTATTTTTTTATTAATGTGGTGCAGGGGGTCAAACATGGTCTCTTGTGTGCTAGCAAACACACATTTCCAGCCCTGCCTTCCACTTTTGTGTGTAACATTTTTCTTGGATCATTAAATATTCTTCTTAAACAATCTTTTCAATTGCTGTCACATAATATGCTAGATTCATAAAGCTTTCCCATTTGTACTCATTAAGCTCTTCCAAGATCCTCACTATTATAACAGTGAGAAATATTTTCTTAAAGTAATTAAAACTAGGCTAGAAACCCATCTTGTGCCATCCTTTGCTAGATCCTCAGATTGGATTCCTAGTCTCAGAATTATAAAGTTACAAGACATGACCTTTTTTAGGTGCTAGTACTTGTTGCTAAACTGCTTTCCGGGAGCTATGCAGAGCCACTCTCCCAGCAGCTTGACTCACCTTCTAAAGAGGGCCTGTTGGATGGGTGTGCAGCTGCCAACTAAATTGCCTCAAGTGGCTCATGGGGGTAGCAGACACACCCAAGGCAGAAAAAAAGTCAGCTACTGACTGGTTGAGACCCATTTGGAAGTACCAGGGGAAGCGACACTCCCCTAAAGGCCCATACATTCAAGATCAGGATAGCACACATTTCCTGTGGTCACTTAGATCCTCCTGCAGCAATCTGTCTGTGCTTTGTCTCTAGTATAATACATAATAGTTGGGGCAAGCAAAGAGCAGGGTGCTGAAATTCAATCATTCATTTAACAAGTATGTAGAAAGGACAAGCCAGGCACCATTCTGAGTGATGTGGAAACCATGATGAACAGAAGTGACATGTCCCTGTTATGGGCTGAATTGTGTCCCTCCAAAAGACATGTTGCAAACAACTTCTGGTACCTTGGAATGTGACTATATTTGGAAGATAGGACTATTAAATAAATAAATAAGCAGATAAATAAATGGAAGATAGGGTGATTAAGGTACATTGAGTTCATTAGAGTGGGCCCTAATATAGTCTGACTAGTGTCCTTATAAAAAAATGGAAATCTGAACAAAGATAAAACAGAAATATGTGCACACACAGAAAGGCCATATGAGGACCCAGTGAGAAGGTATCCATCTGCAAGTCAAAGAGAGCAAGGGTCAGCCTTAGAAGAAATGTCAATTAGCCAGGTGTGGGGGCACATGCCTTGTAATCCCAGTGGCTTGGGAGGCTGAAGCAGGAGGATTGTAGGTTCAAGTCCAGCCTCAGCAACTTAGTGAGGCTCTAAGTAACTTAGGGAGACTCTATATCAAAATAAAATAAAAAGAGCTATGGATTTGGCTCAGTGGTAAAGTGATCCTGGATTTAATCAGAGAAGGAGAAGGATAAAAAGAAAAAGAAGAAACCACTCCTATCCACTGACAACTTGATCTTGGACTTTCAGTTTCCAGAACAGTGAGAAATAAATTTCTTTTACTTAAGACACTCAATCTGTGGCATTTCATTTTAACAATCTTAGTAAATTTGTGAGGTTCCCAGCCTCAAGGAGCTTCCACTTTGGTGGGAGAAACTTGACATTTATTGAATGATCAAGCCAATGATACCCCAGTACACATCTGTTAGTGCAATTACGTTCAGAAAATTGGGGAGCATGAGAACAGGTGGCAGGGAACCCTAATGTAGTCCCTGGATCCAATGGCCAATTAGTTCTCTGGGTGAGACTGTGGTGGGAGCAGAGGAAGAGAGTGTTCTGGGAGAAATTAGGGAGTGCTCAGTGTCAAGGTCCTGGAAGGAGTTGGGGAGGAGAGAACACAGTGTTTGGAGTATAAATTAAGGTGTGTTGGGATGCAGGGTTATATTGAAAAACTGCAGGATCTGTGGGGAGCTGCTTTACAGCCTATTTAATCTAGAGAAGTGGCAGGATCTCATCTATCTCACAAAACTCCCCCTGGTTAGTTGCCTTTTGGAAAAGGAAGTGTAAGTGGAGGAAGCTCAATGGTAAAGTGCCCTTGGGTTCAACACTCCCCAAAAGGGGGGCATGGTTGTTGCAATTTTGCCTCATCTTTTTGTAAAAGTAATATATGCTGATTTTTACACACACACACACACACACACACACACACACACACACGAAGACATCTCTGATGAAGAGCTAGAGGTGACAGCAGAGATTCAAGGTGAGATATGAGGGAGACATGAAACAAGACAATGAAAGTGAGGATGAGTAAAGTAAGGCCAAGCTGGAAGGAAAATCTTCAGGTCAGGTAATTAAATCTCTTACTACAGAACTTGGTGGTTCTGGGTGATGGGATAAAACAATTTGTCATGGATAAAAGTGACAGGTGGATTGATAACATACATTCACTCATCAACATTTATAGGTGTCTTGTGTGTGGCAGGCAGTTGCCATACTAAGGTTTTAGAGAAGGGTTCCACGTAGAGAGTACAATTTAATTGCACTGGGAAGAAGGGCAAGAGGCCCTGTTGATGTAGGGAAAGCCCAAATTATGGTCTATTTTTAAAGAAGTATAGTTTGGCTCTATCCAGATGTATGAAGCAACATGAACCTGATCTATGGCAGAGCTAAAATTGGATCTAAGAAGTCCCTACCTAGGTGTAATTAAAGTTATTTGAAAAGAAAGAAATTTCCTCATGGGTTAAACTTTTGTACTTTATTCATACAGCAGCCTGTGTTCAAACTTTTTCTGCTTAACTTAATCTGTGCAGAAATAAAGGTTCAGCAAGCAAGTATGTAGCCAAATTTTATTCCTCAAGTTTTAGAACATGTTTATCATGTTTATTTAAAAGGACCACTTTCTCTGAGACTACTCAAGCTTAACCAATCAGATTATCTCTCCCAAGAGTTTGGAATTTGGGACCAAGAGACACTAACTAGCCTGTGTGTGACTAGAGCTCCACAAATAGAAAGGGAGGTTCAGAAATGGCCAGGTGCATGGAGAAGTAGAGATCTCTCTGCAAAGAAAGAGAGATCAAGACTAGGGAATGAGGTGGGAAAACAAGAGGCAGAGACCCTCTGGATGTTGTTCCTGAGTCCCACTATTCATGTGACTCCCTAAGAGTACTAAGATGGTCCTTGTGGTGATTGCCATTTCCCTAAATGTCCTCTTCCCACCCCCTTGTGAATGGTATTGGGAGATAAGTGTCTGCCTCATGGCTGGAAGCTGCAGAGCCAGGACCTTCCTTTCCCTGTCACTGTGCACATTTACCCAGGCTAAGCCAGTGGGATGTTCTGTCCTAGGACTAAGTCCTTGTGGAGTTTTAGGAAGTCAGATGTTGTAGGTGCAATGGCAGCAAAAAAACAACCTTTTACTGCTGAAGATCAAAGAATCACAGCTGTGGCTTCTGCTGCTCAAGTCCCATCTATTTCCCAAGCCAAAGCCTCCAAAGCTCCCTTGAAATCTTTTCCTGCTTCTGATGCCAAGGTGGGGTTGCTGTAGCTAGCATCCAGGAACCCCAACTGACAGAGTCTCTGCACATTTGGCTTGGAGTAATTCGAAGCACAGTTCTGTTTTTTTGCTGCAAAAGAACTTTGGCTATGATAGTCATGACATTAAACATACTAACGTTCTGTTTTTCTGCCTACCTTCTCCTCTCCTTTGGAATTATGATAAGGATCCAGACCAGGAGAGAAGAGAGGGAGTAATATTAAGAGTAAAGTTTTGATGGATACCAGAAAATTCCCCAGAGGATGAGGTGAAGTCTTGGGGTGTGTGTATATGTCTGTGTTGCTAGGGGGATTTATATGAGGTGAGGTCTGTCGTGGGGCAGCATTAAAGGAATAACTCTCAGAGTTGTCACATATAGCTGCACAGATAGATAGTGCACTAAACAATCACCCTTGGTGACCTTATAGACCATAGTCCTATATAGGAGCAGAAAGGGGAGTAATCCCTCTTCTGCCCACGGTAAAGAGTGGTCAACACTCCTATACAAAAAAAAAAAAAAAAAAAAAGGGCAGGTTAGTGAGAGAAAAACCTAAGAAGTTCATTTGTGTCTTCCCCTACCTCCACACCTGCTAGAACTGGGGATTGAACCCAGGGCCTTGTGCATGCTAGATATGCTACGTCCCTCTTTCTTTTCTTTCCTTTTAAAAAAATTTTGAAGCAGTATCTAAGTTACACAGGCTGGCTTCCAACTGGTGATGGTCTTCCCTCAGCCTCCTGAATAGCTGAGATTATACGTGTGTATCACCAAGTGGTCTGACTTGATGGTAGTTTTATGACATGAAAGCCCAAGCCCCAAGCCCCAGCATGAACTATCCATTTTTATGCTTAGGTTTGACAAAGCACAGACAACCATGCAGAAATGTGATTAGACCCAAAGATCATGATCAAATGCTAATGGACCGCAAGGACAGTCAG